TCTCAATTAGAAATCCTTAAACTGTTAAATTTTAATTTAGATTAAAAATGTCAATATCCTATAAAATTTGAGATATAAATCAATAAAGCATTGTCTGGTGTTTATGATATAAATCAATTATTGTACGCCAGAGACATCGGTTCAACCCCCCATTTTTCTCTTACTTAATTTAACCCATCTTTCTAAAATTATGGAAGGTTTAAAATTCCTAAATACAAAAATGAAAAATTGAATGTTTTTATTTCGACTGTGCAAGATTGTTTTCTTTTTAAATTTGAATTAATTTTTTATGTTGTTATTCCAATAGTTCAATTATGACATGGAATACCAGAGAATTTTCTTTGAATTTCTTATTTTTGATGGCAACATTGATGTTCTAATAATTTAAATATACAATATCAATTTATCTTATAAAATATGTAATATTTTTAGATCATTATCTATCTAAATAAATAATATATATATATATATATATATCGATATATATTGTTTTATTGCCATGTTTTTTGGTCTTTTATTAAAATAAACTGATATAATGAATTAAAAGGCACTATTCTAATTTAATATAATTTTTCAATAATAATTCATGAGGAATAAAAAATTGTCAACTTAAAAGTACAGCTCCTTATTGTCACAGTCTTGCTCATATTTTTGAAAATTTAATTTTTTTTTTTTTATTGGATGTTATTGATTAAAGCTATTATTCGTCAGTTCATTCCGTAACCCGGAAATTTGTGGGTTAAAAGAACTTTTAAATATCAAAATATGTCAATAATAATTATTAAATACCCCTGAAATAATTTTGACAAAATAAAAATAAATTAAAAAACAGAAGATAATATGTTAAAATTGGCATTTTTTGTAAATGAAGGTTTGCAAGATTTCGTTGACTGGAAAACAATTTTTTCGTTTTCCACAATTCCTCTTGGGTTTTTTAAAATAAAAAGAAATAATTTCTGAATAGAACTTATGGCTAAAAAATGAATTTTATTTTATACAAAAAAACCCTTTTCAAATAACAAAAATTATTTTTTATATTAGTATTTTGTACAATAAATCATGCATTGATGTACGTTTTTCTTCAAAAAAAAAATTTATTTTTTAGATTTAATATTCAAATTGATTGTCATTTTGAATAAAATAATAATAATAATTTTTAATCCTATAAATAGTCTTATTATAATCTTTATAAATATCCATCTGATCTTAAATTCAGAAATTTATATTCGAATCATGGGACATTAAAAAATCCTTTTTATTTTCATGATACTAGGAATCGGATTCTACTAGAATTCCAGTCGAATCCAATTTCTCATATATATAATATTGTGTATGTAGGCATGAAAATTCCAAGCTATGGGTTTATTTGTTATTCTATTTCTTGGATGGGAAGATTTTGAAAAACAAAATCAAACCAAAAAAAAAAAATTTATTGAATAAAATTTGTCATTTCAATTCATATACATGATCATGAAATTTTAAATCTTCTCATTCTATTTTTATTAAAGAAACAGGGGAAAGCTGGATCCTAACTATCTACCATCTTCCTCAAAATGATAAAAACGAATCAGAGCTCTTATTGCCAGATAGTTTATTCGCTCACACTAAAAGGACGCCGGTATTTGATTTACTTTTGCAATTTTATAGAAAAGCATTTATTTAAAAATCTTATTTCCTTTCCGTTTATAAATCATTTATTTAGAAATATATACAGGAAAAAGGCATGTAAAATTTGGTAACTGATTCTGATGCATGAAATGACGTCACAAAACATTTATTTAGTACCAATAAAAAATTCCTGATTTCCTTTGAAATTTAAAAAATAGAACAAGAAACAGACTAAAATGTATAAATTGAGGAAGATAATTGAGAGTCAATTTTAAATATATAATATTTTGAATAGGAAATATTTCATATATAATTTTAAAAACGATTACGGTCATTATGTGGCACCATTTACCAAGGCAGAAAAAAGAAAAGAAAAGAAAGAAAAAGGAAAAGAGAGGCGAAGACCCAAAGCGTGGATGATAAGCAGAACACCACGACTAAGAGACAATGGATAAAGGATATTTTGATAAGTAACAAATGGCGAAAAGTGTCATTACAAAAAAAAAAAGAAAAAAATTCTAAGTGGATAAAGGAATCAGGTGTGTTCTGGCGACGGGCTGTGTTATCGGGGATACATAAACAAACCGCTAATGCGGGAAAGCATCTGATTAGCAAACCACAGACCGACTAGCCAAAGAAAAATCCAATTGAAAATGTTATTTTGATAATTGACAAAAAACAGGTGAAACTACAGGGCTTTGGATAGATATGAAAAAAATTAATTGTGTCAAAAGCCGCACACGAGGTGTCCACTGACCGTTTTCTTTCGACGGAACATCTTTAGCCTGCGATAATAAACTATGTTATCAGAAATGTGTACCGAAAAAAATGAATGGGAACTTTAGAAATGTTTTTTTTCGAGAGGCGACGGTCTGGCTGTTTTAAAAAGACC